CTCTGAACCCCCAAACTGATTCTGGAAAGCTCTTGCCGGGATCAACTCAGCCAGACTGACTTTACACCCCTGGCTCTGAGTGCTACCTTTTGCATTCCCACTTCCAATGAACTGCACTTGATAATACACTCAGAAACCAATGGGTTTGGTTGATTGGTTGGTTATCTTCTTTTTCTTTACTCTGATACGAAGGATCCTCAGACCCTCTGCTGTGTGGACACAGCATATAGAAGGAAAGGTACAGCTCGCCACCACCGCCCCCCAACAATCACCTTGGTCAGCTTTTAATTTCAGCATCAGTTCTCCCCTTCTTCTTCTCTGGAAACAATCCACCAAGCGGCCTCTATGGCTAGCAGCTGCCTCACTCCACATTTCTCCAGATTTCCCTTCGATCTCTAGGACAGCCTTTGCAGTTACCTATCAAATTGCTGTTTTGTTATTCATTCTCAATAAAACTCCATTTGTCGGGAAGCAGTGGTCTCACTCTGCTGCTCCCTGAATACGTTACAAGGACACTCCAATACTTGACTAAATGATCTGAAGTCACTCATGCTGTGCTCCTTTGATATTGGAAGGGGTGCCAGTTTGTGGGCGAGATCCTGTGCTCCAGGAGAACAGAGCCAAGGGTACAGTGGGGAATCGTTCCCATTGCTCCCATTGAGCTAAATTCCCACCAGCCAGCTGTGTTCCAGAACACGGGTGGTGCTGTGGTCTCTTGGGCTTGCCAATCAAAAGGTCAGCAGTTCGAATTCCCGCAATGGAGTGAGCTCCCATTGCTCTGTCCCAGTTCCTGCCAACCTAGCAGTTTGAAAGCATGCCAGTGCAAGTAGATAAATAGGTACCACTGCGGCGGGAAGGTAAACGGCATTTCCGTGCACTCTGGTTTCCGTCACGGTGTCCCGTTGCAGCAGAAGCAGTTTAGTCATGTTGGCCACGTGACCTGGAAAGCTGTCTGTGGACAAACACTGACTCCCTTGGCCTGAAAGCGAGATGAGCACCGCAACCCCATAGTCGCCTTTGACTGGACTTAACTATCCAGGGGTCCTTTGCCTTTGATTTCTGCTGTGGGAGAAATAGCTTGCATGATAACAGAATATTCAGATGACCTGATGAAGATCCAACTATTGAGACCTATCAGCCAATCTCCTAAAGAAAAGAAGTACTTGGCAACTTTACCAGAACTATAAAGGGAATCTTAATACATATTAATACAGCAGTACATCTGGCTCTATTAACTGTCTTTGTACAGACCCCTCCCAGTCTTATGCTACCAATAAGCACTTCGTACTATGAACTTGCACATTCCAAAGCTGATGAATTAAATTTAATAGGAGATGCAAGGCTGTAGCCAAAAAAACATTCCTGCATCTCCTTTTTCTTTCTCTCGTATAGAATCTAAGAATACTGAATGCAAGATAATATAGCATGAAGCTGTAAATTTCCCCATTACTCCTTCTTTCTTCCTTGGCAGACACAGTTTTTTATTCCGATTCAAAACTGTTGCAGTTCCCAAAGGGAAGATGCTCCAATCCCTTAATCATTTTTGTCATCCTTTTCCATGATCTCTTCTAAATCCTCAACATCCATGTTGAGACGGTCATCCAGCTGACCGCAATATTCTAAATCTGTAGGCACACCATAGGCTAATGTAATAGCATGGTGATACCTGTAACTATATATATTGCACAGTATATAACTATATTGGGTAATAGTCATAAAGGAAGTTAATACCAATGGGTGCTACCTACTCAATTTGCATGTAGACAATTAGATATATAGATGACTCATTAAGCTGTTATGTTAGCAACCAGATCATACTAGGAGGGCGAAAGCTCAACTTATTTTATAAATATCCACATTACAGAGCTGTTTCATATGCTAAATACATTGGTACCTCTCGTTACGGATTTAATCCGTAACTAGAGGTGCTGCTTCTGTGCATGTGTTTGGCGTGATAGAGTGCTTCTATGCGCACACGCGGCATGCAGAGTGCTTCTGTGCATGTGCATGATGCGCAGAGCGCTTCTGCGCATGTGGCAAAACCTGGAAGTATACACATCTGGGTTTGCTGCGGGCGTAACCTGAAGATTCCGTAACCTGGAAGTTACGCAACACGAGGTACCACTGTAAATGGCATGCATAGTTGCGCAACTTTTTGTTTCTCTGCCTCGCTTATAAATCCCTGGAGCGGAGCAGAGTGAAGCCGACTCATTTTCAGTCCTCTCACCTGGCCTTGCCCCCAGCGGTGCCACGGACTGGCTCATTTGAATGGGGGTTTTGCGGGAACCCCAATGGTCTGTGGCACTGGGAAGGCAGGCCAGCTCCAACAAACCTGGCATGTCACAAGGGGCATCGGAGGTGCTGTGCGCTGGTTCGCAAATGGCGCCCACAGTCAGAGGTGTGAGCGGTTATTGTCTACTTTCACATAAACAAATTCTGTTAGCTTTACCACTGAATGAAATATAGCTATTAATCCATTCCTTTAATGTTGGGATGCTAGATATTTTATTTATTTCTATTTATTAAATGCATTTATAGACGAGCCTTAATTAAAAAAAAAATTCCCAGAGTGATTCGGCAATCGCACAGTTCATAACAGACAAAAAGAAAACCATAAAACCGTCTTCAATCCTAAAACAGCAACAAGGGAACAATTCCATAGACTGCTCTACAGATCAAATCTGGTGACAACCTCAAGAAGGTCTGAAGGCCAGAATGAAAAGATATATTGGTGGCTGTAACAATTTTTGCCCCATTCGGTGGCTATAAAGAGTTTTGCTGCCATTAAAGGTCTTACCCAGAGGCTTTGTGATTTTAAGGACATATTGTGTCTAAATAAAATCTAGAGTTTTCTCTCAGCTGAAAGGTCCTCTAAATTCAAAGCATCTTCTAAGCCTTAGACAGAAATTCAAGAAAATCAACCGGTGGTGATTCCGGTTTCCAACTACATTAGTTGAGGAACTGAATAAGCTACAATGGTGCAGAGACTGTTGAAATCCTTGGATATTTCCAAAGATTGATGGATCTGTCCGATGCAGTAATTCTAGGGAATTTCCAGTTATTACTGCATTGCATAACACGGGTGACATACAGTATCCTAAATGTGTGGATATACGTGGTCAATAGTTCAAATTTCATATGAACTTTGGAAAGCAAAGATTTCATCACGAGTGTGTTGCTTAATGCTTGATGCAGCAGCTAGAAGCAGCAAATATAGTGCAATCGTAGAATGTGGCTTGCACAGATGGGCTCATCCACCTTTATCTCTGCTTCTAGGCATAGAACAGCACTTTAAAGCTCTCTGTCTGAGCACTTTTCTTTTTCTGCCCTGGTGCTTTCCCCACAAAACCTAGCTCTTTACTGCTGAATCACAGCCAACAGCAATCTGTTGAAACTCAAACTGCCCTTTGTGCCAATAAAATGGGTATAATAAAAGATTGGATCCAAAAGCTGACAGAATATGCCGAACTAGACGGTCTATCAGAAAAAATAAAGAATAAATCAAGACAGGAATTTGTTTCAAAATGGGAGAATATTTGAAAAATAAATATAGTAGTTTAAATTCTGTTGCAGCATTCGAGGAACTTCAGTAATAGTTGCAAGGTAGATATAAGAAATTAGATATATTAAGAAAAAGTTTAATTATTATAAAAGTGTGTATTGGCAATAAGTAATATGAAATCGAAATATAGAATAGACGGGAGGTTGGGTCTTTAGTGTTAAGACCAATATATGTTTTTTTTGTTTGTTAAGAAAATTACCGTATGTGTCTATGGTTATTCCTGTGTGTAATTTGGTATTTGTGTTTTTTCTTTTTTCTTGCTGTATCAATAAAAAAATTTTTTAAAAAGGGTATAATAATACAATATTCCATATTCAGCTCTAAAGACTACTGGGGTTAATTTTTAATCTTTTATTTCAAAGAACAAAGGAATAGAAACCAAAGAGAAGGGCAGGGGAGAAGGCTCGCAAGTAGGGAAGATGTATCAAATGAAAAAGCAGTGTCATCTTTTCTCTTTTTTCCGGTAGAGATGGAAATAAAAGGAGAGAAGCAAACAATAAGGTTTTTTTTTAATAACATTGGCATACCTGTAAGAATAGTAACACCTCCTTGCCAATGTCTCTCTAATATATATAAAAAATCATAAGGATGTCACCACGCTGCAGTTCGCTTGGCCACAGACAGGTGGCAGTGCAGGCTACTGTGTGATGAGCTGCTGAGCCAGTGGGCAGCCAAGTAGCCCAGATGAGGAGAGGACAGGGGGAAGTAGCCAGAGCAGAGAGATGCAGGAGAGAACCAGAGGATGGAGATCAAGTCAAACATATTGCTGTTTAACAGCTTGCTAAGGGAAATTACCAATGAAATTGGAAATTGTTCCTTGGTTGAAGATCCATCTCTGCATTCCCACACTACTGCTGCCATGACCAAACAGTACTATCCTGCACTTCCCTACAGTAGCCACTTAATGTATCTCCCAAAAGGAGGACCGTGATTTACATGAAATCTGCTTACAATGGTACCTCGTGTTACAGATGGGACCCCGTTCTAGAGGCCTGTCTATAACGTGAAATGCCCGCAACTCGAAGCGCTGCGTCTGCGCAGGTGCATGGCGCGATTTAGCGCTTTGCGCATGCGCGAGCGGTGAAACCCAAAAGTAACCCGTTCGGGAACTTCCGGGTTGCCGCAGGACGTAACGCGAAAAGACGCAACATGAAGCAGATGCAACGCAAGGTATGACTGTACGCTAATTTTCATGTACAACTGCAAAGGTAGAAATAACCTTGCTATCTATCATTGCAGTGGAAATATTGCACATCTCAGCTTAACTGAAAGACTTTGACTCGATGACTTGTGCACCCATTCAGTCTGCTGTTCATTCATGTGCTAACCGTCAATGGGCAACTTCAAGACCCTTCCTGGTCTGGCTTGAAGGAATCATAGAACTGGGGTGGGACCATGATGGTCATCTAGTCCAACCCCATGCAATACAGGAATATTTTGCCCAAGGTGGGGCTTGAGCCCACAACTCTGAGATCTCATGCTCTACCAACTGAGCTATACCAGCACCATCCAGATTAAAGGTAAAATCTGGACTTGGACTGGACAGACCTTCAAACAGAGGGCATCTTCAAACAGAGGATTGTCCTCTATAAGGTGGGGCACATGGCGACCTGGTGTACCCCAGTCCCAGCTTCTACTTTCAGCAGTCCCCATTTCCCGCTTTCCACTGCTGGCTCATTACCATCATGCTAAAGTAAAGGTAAAGGGATCCCTGACCATTAGGTCCAGTCGTGACCGACTCTGGGGTTGCGGCGCTCATCTCGCTTTATTGGCTGAGGGAGCCAACGTACAGCTTCCGGGTCATGTGGCCAGCATGACTAAGCTGCTTCTGGTGAACCAGAGCAGTGCATGGAAACGCCGTTTACCTTCCCACCAGAGCGGTACCTATTTATCTACTTGCACTTTGATGTGCTTTTGAACTGCTAGGTTGGCAGGAGCAGGGACCGAGCAACGGGAGCTCACCCCGTCACGGGGATTCAAACCGCCAACATTCTGATAGGCAAGTGCTAGGCTCTGTGATTTAACCCACAGCGCCACCCGCGTCCCTAGACCATCATGCTAGAAACACTCTTAAAGGCTTTATACCCAAGTGGCCACTTCACGGCTCACAATTCATATGCAGCCCCCAAGCAAGGTCACATCCAGTGTTCAAGTAGTTCTATAAAAATGAAAAATCAGGTTTTTAAAAACCTGATTTTATTTTACTAAATAAGAACACTTTATACGGCACAAATAAACCAAAAATTCAGATTCTCTGGTCACAGAAATCCAGACTCCCCCTATGCGAAAGGAATGAAGGATGCCAGAAAACAGACACGCCCAAACGCTGCAATGTGAGTGTACAATAAATCTTGTGACTCCAAAGGTGCAGAAGGTCAATGCATGCAAAAACAGAAGGGGTGGGAATACATGTGCATAAAGAGGAGCTGTGTTCTTTCTTGCTGACTCATCAAGGCCTAAAGCCAACAGGCAAACCAGATCGGGGGGGCGTTTCTTCATGGAAGCAGCACTGCTATCTAATCGGTGCCAGAACTGTTTATCTGCATGGATTAAGAGTATACAGAGCTTGTCAGGAGTTTTAAGAAGGTCATCTGACTAATCCCACTGCAACAGTTTGGATAAATTTGGGATTTATTTTAGAGTATCAGTGACCAAAGCATTTTCTAGATGGTGTGGGAGGTTCTTTCACCTGGAGGAGAGAGAGAGAGAGATGAAAAACATGTGCTGTTTATGCACTAGAAAATTGGTAGAAGTGAAAACTGGTTTAATAGTCATTTAAGGTAAAAGGACCCCTGGGTGGTTAAGTCCAGTCAAAGGCGACTACAGTCATACCTCATGTTGCGTCCGCTTCAGGTTACATCTTTCAAGTTGCGTCCCACGACAACCCGGAAGTACTTAATGTTACTTCCGGGTTTCGCCACTCGCGCATGCCCAGAAGCGCTAAATCACGCTGCACACGTGTGCAGACGCATTGCTTCTGGATGTGAAAGCTTTGAGTTCTGGATATGCCTCTGGGATGGATTACGTCCACAACTCAAGGTTCCACTGTATGGGCTTGCGGCGCTCATCTTGCTTTCAGGCCAAGGGAGCCGGTGTTTGTCCACAGACAGCTTTCCAGGTCATGCGACCAGCATGACTAAACCGCTTCTGGCGCAACAGAACACTGTGACAGAAACCAGAGTGCACAGAAATGCCATTTACCTTCCCGCCACAGCAGTATGCATTCATCTACTTGCACTGGTATGCTTTTGAGCTGCTAGGTTGGCAGGAGCTGGGACAGAGCAACGGGAGCTCACCCCGTCGCAGGGATTCGAACCGCCGACCTTCTGATTGGCAAGCCCAAGAGGCTCAATGGTTTAGACCACAGCGCTACCCGCTAAGCTAATGAAATTCGCCCCACATACAGGTCTTACTCTGCGCATGCCCAGATTGGTGCCAAATTGGTTGTGGCCTGCGTGTCACCACAGCGAGAGCACTGTGAGGTGTTGTTGTGCAGGCTGTGAAACAATTTGTATGAAATATGGTGATTGTTTGCTCAGGACTGCACTTTGCAGTGTAGCTTTCTATGCTAGGGGAAAAGGAAGGAAGGAAGGAAGGAAGGAAGGAAGGAAGGAAGGAAGGAAGGGGAAATTGCAGGAGACTTGGTGCCAAAGACTGAGAGCTTAGGCCCCTGTAACAATGCCCTTGCATCAGATCCCAGCTTAGTTTTTCTACATTTTTCCCAACACAGCACAAAACATAGCTCCTCCACAGAACACCACAGAAAAAGAAGAAATGTTATAGGATACTCTTGACATCCCAACGGTTCTCCGTTGGGAAAACCCCCTGCCACTGTTGACTCTTTGCCAACAGTGAATCATCAGAAATGGAATACCTGAGGTAAGCTTTGACTAAAAAATGCGGCTTAGCAAAGACTAATGGATAAGTCAAGGCCTGATTATTAACTAGCTACACTGTTATGCTTGCCTGGCCACCGGCATGTTCCTCCGCAGCTGTTGGGTTTCGCACATCTTTTCCACGCCGTGCCTTCATGCATCTCTGCCTGCGCTCTGTGTCCCCCTGTGAGACTCACTACGGTGTAGCAGATGCATTAATATTTTTTCCCCTTGCGGAGTCTAGACAGTTGTCTGCGCACGATCAGACAATGTGACCGTACAGAGGGGTGCGGGGAGGCTCTGTGAACAGCAGACAACTGCAAAAACAAAGCTAGCAAGTGCAAAATGGCCACATCTCCTGACAAGCAACCATCTCTCCACACATGTGGATACAGGGGAGGATACTGATGATTAAAAAATAAAAAATCCAAAAGCATCCTCACAGAATCAGTTTTGTTACCGCTCCATTGGAGAGCATTCAGGCAGGAGTCATAAGCGTGCATCTCCCAAAGCATGTGTGCTGTACCTGAAATGTCCTTCCTTGCCACTGCATGCTCCATGCTCTTCGGGCACATAGCAAAACAACAACAAACCTATGATTACGTGAAACATAATAAATACACAAGACGTAACCGGCTGTACTTCTGAATAAATAAGGTATACTATTCATTGTACCAGATTGTAGATTTCAACGGAAGTCTCATAAAGTTCAACGAAAAAAGCAGAAGACCCGGTGGATCAGTTCATTCTCTAGTCAGTTCATGCATAAGGTCCATACATGTATAAGTATCTATTCCACCTGTCTGTTCATAGAGTCCAATAATCCACATGAAGGGTTGTTAAAGTTCCACAGAATCTTTTCACAGAGTCTAAGACAAGGATTTCCAGATTAGCCTTGTTTCGCCATCCTAGGCTTCATCAGTAGTACAGGCTCTAGGTAATACAAATAAATACAATATCGTAATTCACACATTTTTCAGCAAAAATAATATTAAAAAAACCTTAAACTACTGTACATACCATATGTAATGTTACAGGATAGTGGATCTTATAGCACAGTAGTGGGCTGGCATTTTGATGATGGGTGTGAAAAACTCATGTGTATGAGTAGCACTGATTCCACAACAAACATTCATCTGGAAGCATCCACATACAGTGGTACCTCGGGTTAAGTACTTAATTCGTTCCGGAGGTCCGTTCTTAACCTGAAACTGTTCTTAACCTGAAGCACCCTTTAGCTAATGGGGCCTCTTGCTGCCGCCGCGCCGCTGGAGCACAATTTCTGTTCTCATCCTGAAGCAAAGTTCTTAACCTGAAGCACTGTTTCTGGGTTAGTGGAGTCTGTAACCTGAAGCGTATGTAACCTGAATCATATGTAACCTGAGGTACCACTGTACAACTTTATCTTCTAATGGGTAGAGAATGCACCTTGCTCCTTGTTGTTTATGTCTTGGTTTTATGAGGAGCATTGCTAGGAAATTAGTCCCCCCCCCATCATGGAACACCGCTGACTTTCCCAGCATGCAACCTGGAAGGGGAGCCCTAGTTGGGGAGTTCTCTGTGGATAAGCTTCTGACTTCGCCAGCTGTTCCCATTATGTCAAGAGACACGTCCCCAGGAAAACAGCTGGCATGGAGAATATCTTCAATGCCTGAGTAGGCATGGGAGAAATGCTGCTAATTATTATTCCTAAGATTCCCAAGAACATGTGAAACACTTGCTCTGCACTCTAACAGAATACATAGGATCTCGTCTGCTGCTTTTGGCCTCAGCCTCATATGTCTTAAAAAGTCCAGTGACATATGAGAGACATGTTGTCTCCAATTAAACTATCTCCGGCCCCGCTGCAAGTCACCACCCACCTTCCAGCAGTGAATTGGCTGCTAACTTCCTTCTAAGAAGCTGGGGTCTCAGCAAGCAAACACCACCCCTGATGTGGGAATTATCCAGGCAAGAGTTGTGAGCTCAGCGGAGCCTGTAACCTAACCTTCCACCAAGGTCTGATATCACCATGTTAAGAACTGTCCGGCTTCCTAGCAGAGGGCTGGTCTGAAGACTAACTCCTTGCAGAATGACTCCACTGGCTACTGCCCACTCTTCTGAGTAAACATAGGTAGGATCAGGGCCAGATGACACATATTCAGAAGTTAAGATAACAATTCCTTTCTGTCTACCTCTTTCTAGTTTTTTTTTTTACCCAGAAAGAGGCAGGATACATTTAAAAAATAAATGAAACTTCCCACTCAGCATGGTCTAAGTAAAATATTTAGAATCTTCTGGGTGGTAAATTATAAAAAGGGACAACTTGTGATTTGTTATGTGTTGTAAATATAGCAGGGCGGGGATTAAAAATTTAATTGCATTTATACTTTGGGATAAATAACTGTGCCACAATGATTCCCTAATTAACATCATTTTTCTTAGCTCTATTTGAGACCTCACGTAATTTTTAACTAGTGCTTTTGTACTGAAATAATTTCTGATTAAGAACATATGGAGATGGCTCCTGGGAGCCAGAAAAACTAAGTTCTATTCCAGACTTTCCTACAAGCTCACTGTGACTTAGTTTACATTTCTCTTGCAACTATATTTGTGCAACAACAAAAGTTTAGTGCATGTTTTATCCAGA